TATGAAATTGGGGCAAATTGTATTGCTTTCAATTTTCGTTATGTAGATGAACTTGAAATCCTGCAATTGAGCAAGTGGGCAGTTGAAGACCAGTTCAAAGCTTCAAAAACTCTTCCAATCCACTTCAATTGGACCCATCCGAGGTATACCCAGAGCCTAACTCTTTCTCTGTTTCTCTCTGTATAGGTTGAAAAATAGCTGTAACCTCAAGTCTTTCACCTTTGTGCCAACTTCAATTTGCAGTATCCACACTTTTTAATGGTTTTTTTTTTTTTGTTATCAGTTTACTTAATGATTTTTGCTTTTGTTAATTTCACTTTCATTGTGTATTGAAGCCACTCGGCATATGTGAACCTGTAAACATTTCTCTCTTTCTTCGTTTGTATTTATTTTGTTTTCACCTGAAAATTTTGGGATTTTGATGCATTACATTTCATCGGTTGATTGATTATGTGTCTTGGATGGACTGATGAGGAAATCAATAATTGTGATTGGTTTCTGTTAAAGAGATGTTCAAACAATAAAAGTGTGGATAAAGAGTGTTAATCTACGGGTGAAGGGTATATGGTGTTTGTGGTTTGGGAATTTCAGGAAGTGAGACTATGATGGTGGCGCATGTGGTGTATAGTGGTGGTTATGTTGTCTGATTTAGGTGGTTTATGGTTTGGAATTTTTGCTATTTGTTTATGAAAATAATAGGCACCGTTGGACAAATTAATACGAGAATTTGATTATTTTTGTGAACATTGGGATTTTTGAGTAGTGATATTAATTTCATGTGGTTCAATGAGTATTTGCGTTGTGGCCAGCTTATAAACAAAATAATAAAATGAAATAAAAGAAGAGAATACATTTTGAAACTCAAGTCTTGTGTTTTGTTTAATTTTTTTAATGAATTTACTTCAAGGTCAGTTTTTTGAAACTTCAATTTTTTTTTTTTTTTGATACGGGTCATTTAATCTCCTTCCCATAGAATTAATTTCTTTAGATGTTCTTAAAATATTTGTTCTATGGGATTGTTAGTGACCACTTGTGGAATGTGGGGGCGAATGATGGTGAAAATGGTGACATGGAGGTGGTGAATAGCAGATGGGTGATGTGGTACTTGCTTGATGGTAATGTTATTTTGTTTTTGTTTAGCTTGTGTTCCAATATCTAATTTTAAATTAAGTTCATAAAATTGTTATTGTGTAAAACTAAATTGACTCGGTTCATATCTTACATCTTTTCTTTCCATTTGACTCGGTTCCCAATGAATAGCAGATGGTTTGTAGGTGTGAAGGGTGAATGCTATCATTTCATGAAGGAAATAAGCACAAGTCATTGGGGCTGAGGGTGATTGGTGCAATATTTTTGTTTTGCTATTTGTTTAACGTTTAATTTTGTGATCTCTAATTTAATATGCATTTGTGGTTATGCTTTTGGGGTCTTGTTTTTGGAGGAAAGTTTGTCCGAACTGTTTCGAGTTTATTGGACGCAAAAACTTATTTGGTCTCCTAAATGCATTATTTGCGCTACTTTCCTCTAATACTTAGTTTTTAATTGCTAATTTTTTTATTACATAATGCCTTCACGCACGACACATTGAATATGTTTTTATTGTCTTTATGGGGATAAAGGTTGTCGTCCAATGAAGGGAATGTTTTTCTTCTATCAAATGCATGAGTCAAGGTGAAAGTATGTAATGAAGGGAATCAATGGTTTGAACTATATTTAGTACTGAACATTCACTGTTATGAATAAATGTGAATTATGCTTACGTATGATTTTTGATATACCTTTGCGAAAGATTATGTGCCAATTATTGTCTGAATTAGAATGATGGAATACAATATGTGATATATGGTTATGTGTTGTTGATCATGGGGGATCGATTGTGACTTGTGTATGTTATGTTATATGATGTGTGCATAATGAGTTATGGGAAATAACTGTGTTTCTATACACAATTATTATATTTGCTTCGGGTTTTATAATTGTGATATATTAGAATTGGGTGAAATTCTCAGTTGTGGTATTAATCGTGGTGGTTGTTGTTATTCGTGGTATTTGAAGTACATGTGTGTGGCATTGTGTGATGTGGATGTTTAATTTTGATATGAACAACTATGTGGGTAAGTTGAACTTAATTATATTGCTGGCATTAGTAGGATTGTGGTGTGATAGTGAGTTCGCTAATTAGTTTGAACCGTGTTGTTTTTATATACATATTTTTCTTTGAAAGTAAGCAATCACGTACCAATTACTAGGCTTTTGATAAATTAGGTACATAGGTTGAGATTTTTTTCGGTCTTGTTTTTAGAGAAAATTTTGTCCTTTTTGTTCTTTTGAAAAATAATGTGTCTAGATTGATTTGAAATTATATAATTAAAAATAAAAAAGGACAGGATCCAAAATTGCTATTTAGAATATCTATATTACACTAAATTTTTGAGTGCTCGATTTTTTGTGTTGCGTAGTACCGTTATTACTAGTGCTTTATAAAGGCCAATCTATTAATGAGAGAGAATTAATGAGCAAAAGGTTGTAATTTAAACTTTCGTCATTGGAAAAGAAGTAAAAAATTTTGTTTTGTTATTTTTATATTTAAATAAGGAATGTAATTGAATGAGGCCAATTCAATTATATTAGGAGTGAACCACAGAAAGAAATTGGTTAATTTTTGCCAGCAGCAGTTCAAAAAAAATAAAAATAAAAATTATGGCAGCATTTTTTCAATGCATTTCACTTCAATTTCCTTGCCCATTTCAATGCATTATTCCAAAATCCTTTAATTTGCATCATAGTCTGATAATGGGAGGGCATTTTAGTCAATTCACTAGAACATGATCAAATTGATAATTATATAGAAGTGTTTATCCATTTTAGTTCACATAATTGGGATATTTACTGAAATGGAAAATTGATAATTTTTATTGTTCCAATTATTATGGCAAATTAGTAATTGAATTTGATCAAAAGCAATGGAAATTCAGCCAATTTGGTTTCCCGAACTAATAACAAGATATATAAACTTAAATATTTGGGCTTTTTAAAATAAAATGAAATAAAACTTGTAGTATTAGAAATTGTATGAAAATTCAAAATTTGATGAACATTAAAAACATGTTACCAACTACAACAGAAGTATCAATATATAACAATTATTAGTAAATACATTGAAAGGTATTCAAAAAAGATTATACATCTATTAACAATGTCACTACTCATCATGAATGTACATACAATTTATGCAAAGCATATAGTAGCACTCTAGACATTCAAGTACGGGATCATCCCCAGAAAGTCCNTTATTAGTAAATACATTGAAAGGTATTCAAAAAAGATTATACATCTATTAACAATGTCACTACTCATCATGAATTTCCATACAATTTATGCAAAGCATATAGTAGCACTCTAGACATTCAAGGACGGGATCATCCCTAGAAAGCGCNTCATGAATTTCCATACAATTTATGCAAAGCATATAGTAGCACTCTAGACATTCAAGTACGGGATCATCCCTAGAAAGCTTANATACACAATTATTATATTTGCTTCGGGTTTTATAATTGTGATATATTAGAATTGGGGGAAATTCTCAGTTGTGGTATTAATCGTGGTGGTAGTTGTTATTCGTGGTATTTGAAGTACATGTGTATGACATTGTGTATTGTGGATGTTTAAGTTTGATATAAACGACTATGTGGGTAAGTTGAACTTAATTATATTGTTGGCATTGTTAGGTTGGTTCGGNACCACAACGACAACACGTGAACTGTTTCATTGCATTTTGAAGAAACTTGAGAGGGTGTTGGTGATCTTTAAACTCACGGCTGCCTCCAAACTTGACATTTTGATATATNTGGTTCGGTAATTGGTAAATGATTGAGCCAAAGTAGGATTGTGGTGTGATAGTGAGTTCGCTAATTAGTTTGAACCGTGTTATTTTTATATACAGATTTTTCTTTAAAAGTAAGCAATCACGTACCAATTACTAGGCTTTTTATAAATTAGGTACATAGGTTGAAANTCGCAAATTTCACAATAGAAATCTTGGGGATGATCAAAGATAGGAGGATAGGTAAGGATGAGGGAATGTCTATCCCATCTATGCTCGACGGTTTTAGGGAGTAGAGCACAATTACAGCATAGACGGAAATTGCAATCCTTACATCCGAACCCGCGATTATAAAAATAGAGTCCACATGCACTGCAATATCCATACACATCCCTNATTACACTAAATTTTTGAGTGCTCGATTTTTTGTGTTGCGTAGTGCCGTTATTACTAGTGCTTTATAAAGGCCAATCTATTAATGAGAGAGAATTAATGAGCAAAAGGTTGTAATTTAAACTTTCGTCATTGGAAAAGAAGTAAAAAATTTTGTTTTGTTATTTTTATATTTAAATAAGGAATGTAATTGAATGAGGCCAATTATATTAGGCGTGAACCATAGAAAGAAATTGGTTAATTTTTGCCAGCAGCAGTTCAAAAAAAATAAAAATAAAAATTATGGCAGCATTTTTTCAATGCATTTCACTTCAATTTCCTTGCCCATTTCAATGCATTATTCCAAAATCCTTTAATTTGCATCATAGTCTGATAATGGGAGGGCATTTTAGTCAATTCACTAGAACATGATCAAATTGATAATTATATAGAAGTGTTTATCCATTTTAGTTCACATAATTGGGATATTTACTGAAATGGAAAATTGATAATTTTTATTGTTCCAATTATTATGGCAAATTAGTAATTGAATTTGATCAAAAGCAATGGAAATTCAGCCAATTTGGTTTCCCGAACTAATAACAAGATATATAAACTTAAATATTTGGGCTTTTTAAAATAAAATGAAATAAAACTTGTAGTATTAGAAATTGTATGAAAATTCAAAATTTGATGAACATTAAAAACATGTTACCAACTACAACAGAAGTATCAATATATAACAATTATTAGTAAATACATTGAAAGGTATTCAAAAAAGATTATACATCTATTAACAATGTCACTACTCATCATGAATTTCCATACAATTTATGCAAAGCATATAGTAGCACTCTAGACATTCAAGTACGGGATCATCCCTAGAAAGCTTACCACAACGACAACACGTGAACTGTTTCATTGCATTTTGAAGAAACTTGAGAGGGTGTTGGTGATCTTTAAACTCACGGCTGCCTCCAAACTTGACATTTCGATATATACGATGAATACATTGAAGATGAAAAGATTGATCACATTCTCGACAATGGTAGATCCACTCCCTGGTATTTATTTCTTCCTCGCAAATTTCACAATAGAAATCTTGGGGATGATCAAAGATAGGAGGATAGGTAAGGATGAGGGAATGTCTATCCCATCTATGCTCGACGGTTTTAGGGAGTAGAGCACAATTACAGCATAGACGGAAATTGCAATCCTTACATCCGAACCCGTGATTATAAAAATAGAGTCCACATGCACTGCAATATCCATTCTCATCCCATGTATTGTTTCTCTGACATAGGGAGTGCTTGTGAGCTTCATGTACAATAGAGGCGGGCAGGAGAGCACATTTAACATCAATGGCGAAGGATTTACACGTGTCACACTTGTAGAAGAAACCGTTGTTGTATGACACGCAAGCTTCGCAACCGGTGAGCCGATAGAATTCACTAAAGTTTGAGAGCTGAATCGGGTGTTGGTGAAGTGGGTGTTGTATCTCTGGTGGTAAGTTGGCACAATTTAAGTGGAGAAAATAAACGCATTGTGTACAACAATAAAATGGATGTGAAATCGGTTGTACACAGCTATCACATAATATTGTGTTATCATTGTTTGTCTCATTGTCATTTTGCACTTTGAAAAGTGTTAGCTGATGCTCATGGCTCCAATGGCTGATCATTGGTTCGTCCTCAATTTTTTCAAGGAGGAGATGTTCAACAAAACAGTTCATCGGCAAGTGTAGTACATCAAGATCGTGGTCTTTCTGATCCATAATCTCACTTTCTAGATCCCTAAAATAATATATATAAAATAAGAGTTACTTACCAATAAAAAAACATTGCTAGTATTTATGTCCCTAAAGTATACTAATTTTATCAATTTAGTCTCTAAAGTTTCAATTTATATCACTTTGGTCCCTAATCAGAGAATTCGTTAAATTTTTTGATGAAAGTGACCACGTGTCATTCTTTCAGACGGTATCACGTGATCAACACGTAATTATTCCGGCAAAAACTTAATAGTTTGTATGTGTATGGACCATTTAAACACAAATTGAGCATTTCAAAAACACAATTGACAAAATTAATATTTTAAAGACCAAACTGACAAAACGTATATACTTTATGAGCCAAAAGTACTATTAAATTATTTTTTTTTCTTTTGGGGGAGGATGAATAGACTCACCTCAAAGGTGTTGAAGATGAAGTTGATGAGCACTTCACATGAATAGAACATCTGCATCGGAAACAGTAATAAGCCCAATAAAATCGATTAATACGCTCATCACATATATAACAGTCTGTATCGAATTGGGTGAACTTATCCAACTTCTCGAGAATGAGAGGGTGATGGTGATCCGTACGGCTGATGGTGGTAGGTAACAAAGCACATCTCTTGTGAATCCAAAACTGACAAGTAACACATACATATGATGAATCTTTGTGTTCCATGCGACAAAGATTGCAAAAGAAAGAGGTTGGCCTTAGTAGGAATGCTAATGGGTGCTCGTGACTTTTATGTGTAATCATTCTGCGGTCTTCTATTAAACATGATATGCAAATATTAAATTCGCAAGAAAAACAACAGTAGCATCTTTTCTCATCATCTCCACAAAAATTACATGCGAGTCGAAAGTATAGGTGCATAGGGTGTTGGTGTATGGGGTCTGTAACTTGTCGACGGAGTTCCGCACATCTTTTGTGCAGAAAAAAATCACATTCGGAACAACTATATGCAGGGCCTAAGATCTGTTTCTCGCAGAGTCCGCAGATAACTAATTTGTGGCCGCCTTCATCCATTTGTATTTCCTTGAGGCCCAATGGATGGCTATGCCATAAATGTTTCAGTTTTTCCATCTCTAATGTGTGTTCGTAGGGGTGTGGGTGTGGGTGTGTATGAGAGAGAGAGAAAGAGGCTGAGGGAAAGAGAGGTAATTAATAGGCCTAGCTCGGAAATTGTAAGAAGAAGAGATTAATATGTACACCAATTCTTCAAGCGGAGAGGCCAAACTTATATAGGTTCTATGGCCTAAATTTTGAGTAAGGTATCTAATTATGATTAAGTTATGTACTTTAGATTATGTACAAGAAGGGGTTAGGAATAAATGCATTTAAAGAAATGAATGATATGCATTTTGGAATATATACTGAGAGGGACTAGGAATAAGTACATTCAAAGAAATGGATAAGTACTTAATAATACTTGAAAAACACATAAAAAGGTTTTGTGTTGGTGAAGGAGAAAGACGGGGTATGGAATTTAATCAATTTATATTACATTTATAAGGAAGAAGATAGAAGCAATGAAAGATTGACTAAGCCAATCTTTAGCTATGCATAACGAGTTGAGATTCACTGGTTGATGGGTTAAAAAACAGAGCAAAGGAAGATTTTATTTTTTCGGTTTTTCTAGAATATTTATGTCAAAGTTATGTGTCTAAGCATTCAGCTTATTAGATAGAACACAATGCCCAATTCGGAACCAGGCATAAGTCGATGTAACTACCCCTACTACTGTTTATGATCAAAAGAGCCAAGTGTACATGAAATTTCAGTAATGATATTTGGACATAAAATGGAGACTTAATGTTATGAAATTTGACATGAATTTACTACATTACAACTAATTTAGTCCTATTCTCACTCTTCATTCTCTCACTTTCCCATGTCTCATACTTTGGTTTGCCTCTTTTTGCCGTTACCAATTATTCTTTCTTATGCCAGCAAGAAACTCGTCGTTACCATTCATTATTTCTTATGCCAGCAAGAAACCCGTCGTTACCATTCAAGAATTGTGCTTCATATCTTGAAATATTTTAAAATTGTCAATCAATAAAAACTCATTACTTTTTCAAAAAATTTCAATAGAATTTTATCTAAAAATAGGACTCCTAAATCATATAAATATGTGTATACAATTCATAAAATCAAATTAGTAATTAATACATATCTTTCTTTAAAGAAATACAACCCAAACCAATTACAGAAGCCACCGTGTAGAAAAAAATATATATATATTTTGACTTCCTTTCATTTAATTACACCATTTATAATTAACTTTCCACTCAAGTTATTGTTGAAACAAAAATAATTAACTCAGAAAAAAAGAAAGGAAAAAAAACTAATGGTAAATTACACAAACACCCTATAAATTGATCTAATTATAAACACACCCCCTTGATTTTTTGAAATTACAAGAACACCTCTTACTGTTTAGCTATCCATTTACAAAGCGCCCCTATAGATAACACCGTTATTGGCAATGTCAAAAAAGTGATTATATCATCAACTTTTTACACTTTACTACCCATATTACTCATGAATAAAATTAGACTAACCTATTTATTTTCGTGTCGTATTCGTGTTTGTATTCATGTTTTTTTTTATAATGTGGAACCTCTCCAAGGTAGGGCCTCTTTGAATTCATCCCTACTAAAGTAAACTCCGAATACCTCTAATCGCCTGCAAAGTATAGGTATTTATTAAGCTCGAGAGACACTAACAAGAGTCAAACCCATGACGTCTGAATCTATGGTTTATCTGGGTTCAACTTCATACCGCTGGGCAACCCTTGCGTGTGTGTTCGTATTCGTATTGACCCATATAAACTTTGAATAAAAAAATTTAATGCTAAAATTTAAATATAAGATTCTATTATCACTTAATTGAACCCATACTCATATATTTTCTATAAACTAAAAATTAACCTAATAAATATAACAATAATAATAAGTAAAAATATCTTTTATATACAATAATTATATCAATGTTTAATAAATAGTAATAAATAATTAATATTTTATTTTTATAATACTAGTTAAATATGTTGATCGTGTAAATTTCAAGTTTGACGGATTAAATTCGAAAATGACACCCATTTATTAGTATTTAAATATATGAGGGGGTGATAAGTAAAAAATGATATATGATAAGAGTAATTATGAAAAAAAAATGCATTTTTTTTTATATTTATTAAGGAACAAGAGGTGTTAGTGTAATTTAAAAAACTAAGGGGTGCCTTTGTAATTAAACCAATCTACAGGGTTGTCAATGGAATTTGGTTGACGATTACATATTTAACAAAGCCAATAAAAAAGAATAGGCATGTCCCTCATACTAATTTCCTCAAAGAATCTCATGCCTCAATTTTCTCAAGTAGGTTATTGTAGATCAATACCAAAGGAGGGGTGCAGAAATCAATCCCAGATTTAAGGATCTTGCACTGTTTCCCCTGTTGAGCGTTTCTTATAAGCTTCCAACATTCTCATGCAACGTCTGCATAACTAAAGGAGCACCGCCTGTCTACCCTAAGCTTGGCTAAGAACTCAAAGTTTGGTTTCACTGCGTCATGAATTTGTTGGAAATAAGCTTAATTTTACTTGTTAGTACATAAGATGAATTAGTGAAAGTGGCTACTTTAGGTTCATCTTACTCCTCCAATTCGCCATTGTCAATGAACTGGTACCACCTTCCCATGGCCGCCGCAGCTTTGTAGGTGCACCAAATGGGTCATTTCCTACTCACGAACTGTGTAGAAGCTTGAGATGTTGATGTTGAGGACGATTGGTCCAGTGCTACAAACCATTTTTTCACTATGATCGGTTGGACTTAACGCCTTGGCAGCCGCAACTTTAGAATAGCTTTGGGATAAAAAAAACATACAAAAATCTATTAAATTCTATATTCTCGGATCCAACTTTATACAGCAGAGTTATAGCTCTGCTCCACCTCGGCAATATTGTGGTTTGTTTTCTATCAACTTCACAAAAGGGAGAAATCAGAGAAATCCCAGTTAAATTTGTTTGGTACACTTTTATATGAAAAAAAAAAATCAAGTAAAGAGATCAGAAATTTGTAGTGAGGCGATCGCACTTGAGCAATAAACAAACATGAGAGAGAGAGAGAGAGAGAGAGAGAGAGCATCTTTAAACCTCGAATCAACCCAGCCCAGACATCAACTCTACCAGCTGTAATGACATTTACTAATCGATTCTTGTACATCTACAACTGCAGAACACAAAAAGCAAAAAACAAAAAAAAAAACAATTATATACTTTTACATCATAATTGACACACAATATAATACTAAAAGAGACGAAATGAAACGGCCATCAACTGAATTCGCGGCCCGGGGGGGTTGGTGTTGCTAATTGTTGGTGAGAGAGAGATATATACCTTGAACATTGGTGGTGTCGGAGATTGGCTGTTGCGCTGGTGGTGTGGTGCTGGGATTCTTGTACATCCAAATATATCATTCGATTTTTTAACCCACGCCGGCCGATATAGCTAAAACAAAACAAAAATCACATTTTACCTTGTCCTTTGCAACAGAGGTCATGCCACACTATTATTGCTTCCATACATTTAGTTGTCACCATTTCAATCCAAACACCACATATCAGAACACTCAAAAATGCAAAAACCAACAAATACCCACAGAAACATAAAACCTTGAACCAAGGGAAACAATAATGCAAATATTTAACCAAATGACAAAGAAAATCAATAAACACCCTTACATCTAATGAGAAGAACACCGTCTTATACGTGTGTGAGCGTGTGTGCGGGTGTGTGATGGTGTGCGTGCTGTACGTGTTTGATCTGTGGTGTGTGTGCTCGGTGANCATCTAATGAGAAGAACACCGTCTTATACGTGTGTGAGCGTGTGTGCGGGTGTGTGATGGTGTGGGTGTGTGCGTGCTGTACGTGTTTGATCTGTGGTGTGTGTGCTGGGTATGGCAATTAATCAAACAGGTGGCATGCGTGCGATGTGATTATACATGCGAGATGTGATTGTGCTGGGTGAGTGTATAGTTGAGGAGAGAGGGAGAGAAGAACACTTACCTTAGAGTTGGGGTGGCAGCAGGACTGTGGTAGTGCGCTATAGCATTTGCAACCACCTACAGGAGGAAGAGAGAGGAGAATGGCAACAGAGAAACAATGTTAAGGGTATAATTGTTAGGCGATATGTATCGTACGATACGTCACAATACGGAGGTAAAATGATACGAATCGGAGTATTGTATCGTTGCATAGTATGGTCCTTTACACAATACGATACGTGAAGTCTATGTTTTTTTTTAGGGTTAATTATAAATTATACCTTGAAAGATCATTTGAATCTCAATTTACACCTTCAAATATCAAAAATCTCAATTTGTACCCTCAAAGATAGAAATTTGTATCAATGTGCACCCTCAAAAATCAAAAATCTCAATTCGCACTCTTAAAGATAGAAATTTATATCAATGTGCACCTCAAAGATAAAAAATCTCAATTTGTATCCTCAAATATAGAAATTTGTATCAATGTGCACCTAAAACTAAATTGATAAATTATACCTAGATCCTTTTATGCTTATCACTTAACCATTTGAACTCTTTCACATTTAGAATATTACTCCTACATCTTATGAGGTTTGTGCACGTGTAACACGTAACCCTTTTTCGTTAATATCTGTTAGTATAACCGTTAAAAAATATAATTTTATTATAATAAAAAATTATAATTTTATATTATCTTTTATTTTATAGG